TTTGGTGGGTAAACAACATAGAGTTTCTTTTCATAAAAATGTTGCTTCTAGAAAAGAAAATGTTTTGGAGTTGATTCATTCGGATGTTTGTGGTCCTTTAAAAGTTAGAACACATGGTGGTGCACTTTATTTTGTTACTTTCATTGATGATTATTCAAGGAAAGTTTGGGCTTTTCTACTAAAAACTAAAGATCAAGTTCTAGAAGTATTTAAGCATTTTCAGGCCATGGTTGAAAGAGAAACAGGGCAGAAATTGAAGTGCATCCGATCAGACAATGGTGGTGAATACATTGGGCCATTTGATGATTATTGTCGCAGCCAAGGTATTCGGCATCAAAAGACAGTTAAGAAGACTCCTCAATAAAATGGAGTTGCCGAGAAGATGAACCGCACCATTATGGAAAGAACAAGGTGTTTGCTTTCACAAGCTAAATTGCCAAGATCCCTTTAGGGTGAGGCATTGAAGACAGCGGTTTACGTGATCAATTTGTCTCATTCCTATCCTTTGAATGGTGATGTTCCAGAAAGAGTTTGGACCGGTAAAGATGTATCTTATGAGCGCTTGAGAGTATTTGGTTGCCGAGCTTTTGTTCACATTCTAAAAGATGAGAGGTCCAAGCTTGATAGTAAGTCAAGACAATGTATTTTTCTTGGCTATGGGCGAGATGAATTTGGGTATAGATTGTGGGATCCAGTCGACAAGAAAGTCATTCGAAACCGTGATGTTGTGTTTCTTGAAGACCAAACAATTGAAAACTTTGGCAAAGGTGATCAACCGAAGCCAAAAACTAGTGATCTCATTGACATGGATCCATCTCCTTCATCGTCAGTTGACGATGAAAACGGGGGAGATGTGCAGCCACCTATTGAAGATGTAGAGGATGATGCTTCCTAATGAAGTTGAGCCAGAAATTGAGGAAGAGCATCCAACTCAAGAACCGCCACCACAACTTGAGTTGAGGAAACCTACAAGGGACCGACAACCTTCAAGAAAATATCCTCCAAATGAATTTGTGTTGATTTCCGATCAAGTGGAGCCTGAGAGTTACCAAGAAGCAATTGAACATGCAAAGGAAGGTGATTGGAAAAAGGCCATGGACGAGGAGATGAATTCCTTACTTGAAAACCAGACTTATGATTTAGTGAAGTTGCCTAAAGGGAGGAAAATTCTGAAAAATAAGTGGGTTTTCAAATTAAAGAATGATGGCAAGACTCTGAGGTACAAAGCACGTCTTGTTGTGAAAGGCTTTGGGCAAAAGAAATGTATTGACTTTGATGAGATTTTCTCGCCGGTTGTGAAGATATCTTCTATTCGGGTTATATTTGGCACGGCTGCAAGTATGAACCTTGAAGTTAAGCAACTTGATGTGAAGACCGCATTTCTTCATGGTGACCTTGAAGAAGAAATTTACATGGAGCAACCAGAAGGTTTTGTAGAGAAAAGGAAAGAGAAATTTGTTTGCAAATTGAAGAAAGAAAAAGTTTGTATGGTCTCAAGCAAGCCCCGTGGTAATGATACAAAAAATTTAAATCTTTCATGATGAATAATGATTTTTCTAAAACCACTTTGGACCATTGTGTGTTTGTGAAAAAATTTTCGGATGGTAAACTTATTATTCTTTTGCTTTATGTTGATGATATGTTAATTGTGGGTCAAGATTCTACCATGATTAATAGGTTGAAATTGGAGTTGAGCAAGTCTTTTGCTATGAAAGGTTTGGGACCGGCAAAGCAAATACTTGGTATGAAAATTGTTCGTGATCGCAAAGAGGGGCTGATTTGGTTATCTCAAGAAAGCTACATTGAGAAAGTTCTTGAGAGGTTCAATATGAATAAAGCAAAGCCGGTTGGTTGTCCACTTGCGGGTCACTTCAAGCTTAGTTCGAATCAATGTCCTACAAGTGAGAAAGACAAAGAAGAGATGTTGAAAGTTCCTTATTCTTCAGCAGTTGGTTCTTTGATGTACGCCATGGTTTGTACAAGGCCGGATAGTGGTCACGTCGTTGGTGTGGTGAGTCGTTTTCTCTCTAATCCGGGTAAAGAACATTGGACAGCGGTAAAATGGATTTTAAGATATCTTCGAGGGACTTCGAAGGTGTGTTTGTGTTTTGGGGATGGTAAGCCGATACTTGATGGGTTCACAGATTCTGACATGGCCGGTGATATTGATTTTAAGAAATCTACTTCGGGATATTTGATGACTTTTGTATGGTAATCTAAATTAGAAAAATGTGTTGCTCTCTCAATTACCGAAGCTGAATTTATTGCTATTACGAAAGCTTGCAAAGAAGAGTTATGGTTGAAGAAATTTTTACAAGAGTTGGGTTTAAAGCAAAAAAGGTATGTGCTTTATTGTGATAGTCAAAGTGCTATTCATTTGAGCAAAAATTATACTTTCATTCGAGATTGAAACACATTGATGTGAGATACCATTGGATTCGTGATGTGTTAGATTCGAAATTGTTGCAACTCGAAAAGGTTTACACGGATGATAATATTTCGGATATGTTGACTAAGACTTTGTCGAGGGACAAACATTTGAAGTGTCGAACTTTGGCGGGTCTGGTTGATGTCTCCACCTAAGTCGATAGGGGGAGAATTGTTGGGGTATATCTCCTTATTGGAGTGTGGGACCCAATTAGTTTTAGAAAAAGAGTTTAATTTGGTTTAGTATTAATTATAATATATTTTTATATATTATATTTAATTTGTGGAGACTCAATCAAATTTGGAAACAATTAAGGTTTGATAATAAATCCTAGATTCACAATATTTTAGAGTTTTGTTTTTTGCTCATAGAACGGCTGCTACACATACTCCACTTTGGTGAAATCAATTATTTGGGTGTGTGAACAGTGGAATTAATTTGGGTGGTTCTTTGCTTCGTTTTCGGTGTTGATTTGGTTTGTTATTTGAATCTTCTACAAGTTTGGTTCTGAAGATTTTGGTTCATCTATTTGGTGAGGTCTTTCCTCTTATTTATTTGTGATTATTTGAAATTCACCTAAGGTGATTTTGTGAGACAATTCGTGTCTCATTTATAATCGTTTGGAAAATTATTTGGTTGATAGTGGAATCGGATTTTGATCCCGTGGACGTACCTCACATTGAGGGAACCACGTAAAAATTCTTGTGTTACCTTTAATTTAATTTTTTCACATTAGTTTTTATTCCCGTTGATTGATTTACTTATAGGGAATTATATATTTTTCCTAACAAAAGTCACGTTATCCAAATTGTTATAAAAGTGAAATTGTAATAGTTTTTGCATATTATTAGAGTATAATTTTTAAAATAAACAAAAATATAAAATTTTAATATATATATATATATATTTTTTTTACCCACAAAGTGAATAGTAAGAGTTAAATAGTACTTTGATTTAAGGGAAAAATACAGTCTAGTGGATTGGCAGAAAAAAAAATACAAAATCTTGGAAAATTTTATAATTTTAATTAATAATATTGATAAAAAATTTCATTAATCTATAATTATTTTCAAAAAAAAAAAAACTGATTTTCTCCTTGAATTAAATAGTACTTTTTAAATTTTACCAAGGGATAGGCTTTTCTTATGTTCTCATCTTAACTTAACTTAAGAAAGTGTTTGGACTTAATAAGTCTATTTTGGAATTGATTTCGGTAGTTCAAATCATTTACTTTTTTGGACTCGTTAAGTAAAATAATCATACAAAAAATCAAGATGATTGAATATCAGTAGTTATATGTTTGAATCACTAGTTTTTAAAAAATAAACGATAAATATAATTTCAAGAATAATCATCTATTTTTGTATCAAATATATAGCTACTGGCATTCGATCATCTTGATTTTTTATATGAATATTAAACTCAACGAATGTTAAAAAGTAAACGGATTGGATCATTAAAACGAGACTGTATTGAGCTTCACGGGTCACTTAAATTTTCTCATATTGAGATATGAACCTAAAAAAAATTTAATTCTTATTAATATCTAATTTTTAAAGAATATTTTATCAATATTCCTTGAGCTCATACATAATATAATATAAATATTTTTCAATGTATCATCTCTATACTTGTATCTATTTTAAAATTTTATCATATTATTAAATTTGTATCATATTGTATAGTATCTACATTATGTATCAAGATTTGGGTGGTTATTCTGCTAGGAGCACAACAGTTATTGTTATGTAATTAAATGGGCTCATTTCGAGACCCATTTTAATGATTTAAATATTTCACATTTTAGAGTCCATCAAATAGAACATATTTGTAAAAAATCAAGTTAATTGAATATCGTTAACTTTTTCATTTACTCACATTTATATCTACTTAAATAAAAATTGTGATTTAAAGTATTAAAATGAATACAAACATGAGTGAATGAAAGAATTAACGGTATTCGATTAATTTAATTTTTTACAAATATATTCTACTTAATATATTTTAAAATATAAACAATTCAAATTATCAAAATAAATTTCAAAATAAACTCATTCAATTACCTAACAATAACTGCTATGCTGGGAAACACAACCACCACCCCAAATCTTATGTATCATGTCTCATTCATATCTATATTGGTATAATATCCGCATTCATATTCATACTTGGGCTTGGGATAAGACCTAGGGGTGAAGTTTCTAAGATCCTATGTTTGACTTTTTCTTAGGACTAGTCATTCAGGCATAGTACATATAATTGATATGGCGAATAATTTAAATTTAGACAAATAATATTTAATATTAAGAGTGTAAGTTTAAATTTTTATTTATGTATGAGTTCACAATTTATTGTTATATAGTTAAATGGCTCTCTGCTAATAAAATTTAACTTATTAAAATCTAATCTGAGATCAACCCTATGTGATTAAGCTAGCTTTCATACGAGAGAGAGAGAGAGAGAGAGAGAGAGAGTGAAAGCCCATTTAAGATCAAACAGTGAAAGGAGGGCCAACAACACAAAGCCCATTTACATATTTGCTCAATGTAAACACACAAATTAAGACACCAACAAAGTGTTAATGCAAAATGTTGGAAACTGTACGAAGTCAAAGACAACACTCACTCACAACAAATATATTAAATAATATATACATATTTTTTCCCATTAAAGTCGCAATAAAACAAAGTGTCAGCTCCATTACATTAATAAAACTTTCAAATCCCAACGTCTATCTTTTCCCACCCAACTCCAAAGAGAAAAAAGATAAACTACTTTCCTACTACTTCTACATCTCTCAAAAGCCATTAATCATTTTCATAATATCAAAAGTCAAAAAAACCCCTCCAAAGAAACTAAACTACTGCTACTAGTACTACTTCTACTTCATCCACATTTGGCTACGATTCTCTACTTGTTACCCACCCTACTCTACCATGCTCTAGTGACCAATAAAATTCTTGCCTTGCCTCGTTTGGTTTAAACTATTTTAATTTTTACAAAAATAGATTTATTTTCATCTTTTTAAGATTCTTCTCAAATTTGATTTTTTTTAAATTTATTTTTAGGTTCCTCTAAATTAGAAAACCCTAAAAATATTTTTTTTAATCAAATTTAAAGAAATCAATCTTCACAAATTAAAATAGCATAAACCAAATGAGAGATTAAAATAAATATCACACAAATAATATTTTTAATTTTAAATAAAAAATAAAAAAATAATTGCAAATTAATAAAGTACAAGTAAAAACTATACTCAAGTGAAAATTATATCTAAGGTAATAATTCACATTTCACGTAAGAACAGTTTTTACTTGCACTACACATTTGCAATTACTTTTCTATTCCTTATTCATGTGATATTTATTCTTCATTTATTTTTTCATATTAAAACGGCAAGATTTTTATTGATCATTAATGCTATGTGTGGTTCATTCAAACGAACTAAAGTGGATCGATGATTCCATCATAAAATTCATTTTTACAATAAAAAAGTTACGAAAAATGAATTACGAATGAAATCATCGATTCAAGTTCGTTCCAATGAATCAAACACTTACTTAAAAGGGTCGCGAGGCAGAAGACTTGACGGAGAAGACACCATTCCAGATATCGGTGAAAGCTCGAACGATCACACCATGGTAGTAAGGTGAATTGAGCTGCAAGAAACAGTTGAGAAGCTCTCTCAGATCGTCTTTAGCGTAGATCTCTTTTTCAAGTATCATCTGAAGCATGGATCGCCGGAAATCGAGGTAAGGGTCGTCGGAGTCTTTCTCCACCGCCACGCTCTCGCCGCCGATTCTGCCGAAGCCCTGAACGGCTCTCAGGCTCCGTATGTCGTCGTCGGTGTCGTCCGTGGTGGTGGTGGTGGTGGTGGTGGTGGTGGAGTAGTCGTAGTGGGGATTGAGAGTGGTCCAATGGTGTTTTTTGGGTGGTTTGGGGTGGAAGATGGAGGAGAGTTTTGGTCTCCGGCAGCTGCTGCAGCCGAGGTTGACTGTTACGGTGTTGAGGCGGAGCTTTCTCCTGTTGTTTGACATTTTTGAGAGAGAGAGAGAGAGAGTTGGGACTTTGGGATGAGTATGGTTGTATCAAAGTGTGGGTAGGTTTTGACTGAGAAAAGGGAGGGAGGGGATTGTTCTCTCCCTCTAACTATAAATTGGGCATGTGGGGGATGTGGAATTGAGATCCTCTGCAGCTACTCTCTCCGGTCTCTTTTTTTTGCAACGGTTTAAATCACTTTAAAAAAAATTTAATGGTTCAGATCACTTTATTAAAAAAATAAATTTAATATTTTATTTTTTAATAAAATGATATGAACCATTAAATTTTCCCTTGAATGAATCTAAACCGTTGCAAAAATTAAAGATAATAGAGAGTGACGGGAGAGGATCTCAATTCGGATGGAAAGGGTCCCTCCTTAATATGACAGCTGTTTGGTCTACCACCCATGACAATCTAATCTAAGTGCATACGTTCAAGAGAAAAGGATAATTAATACACTGTTAGAGACATCTCATTCATATGATAAAAGATTACCGTCCTAAATAAGAGAACGATATATAAGTTTATTTTGATGATTTATTATTTAATTTAATAATGTGTAAATAAAATAATTGGTGGGTGATTAGAAAAGATATAAAAAAGATTTATTTTAAATATTTTAATATATTATCACATCATTAAATTAAAAAAATAATCTAATTTTTAATCTCGAATAACACTACTCTTATATACATAATCTAATTACTAACATAATAATTATTATTGACTTTAATATATTTATAATTAAGACCCAACTAATTCAAAATAGGTGTGTATCATTTGTATCATATCCAATCTTGCTATCGCCACATTTTAAATTAAAAGATTCAGGCCTTTTTTGAGAAGTGACTTATAAATTAGTTTATTGACATTTTAACATATTTAAATTATACCATATCTCTATTTTTTTATATTCTTTTTTTAATAAATAAAAAGACCAACTTATTTCACGCTTCTCGAACACAACCTTTCAATCATCATTTTGTGAGGGTAAAAAAATTTATGATTTTTTATTTGATATTCATTGGTCATGCTCTAATTAAATAAGTTTACAAAATTCTTAGGCATAAAAGAAACTTCTATGACAGTGGGTTTGATGATCTAGGGATCCATAAAAAATTGGAGCCACTTGATTTGAAACTAATAAAACAAGATCATCAGAGATCTCGGTAGATGTAGTCGTGGGCACTCACGTTCTTACATTAAACATGGGCTTGATGAGTTTTTATTACGCTATATAATAAGTGTCCTTTTTTATAACAATAATCTTTCGTAATTTAAAAAAAATTTAGTTTGAAATGACTTGAATATTCAAAACGACGTTACTTTGGGTATTCTTTTTTTTATTTTTTATTTTTTTCTTTCCCTCTTATATTGCTGAAATAGAAGGAGGAAGAGAGAGAAGAGAGAAGAGAGAAGAAGAGAGAGAGAGAGAAAGAGAAGAGGGAGGGGGAAGAGAAAGAGCACCCATCACCGGCGCCGCCATCCTCTGTGTATATACACAGATTTGTATCGATGTGTGTACCTCTCTCTCTCTCTCTCTCTTTCTCTCTGTGTGTATATCTGTGTGTGTACACACTGATCTATACCTCTCTCTCTGTGTGTGTATCTGTCTCTCTCTGTTCTGAGTTATGGAAGAAGAAAAGAAAAGAAAAGAAAAAAACAGAGCAAGAACAGATACAGGAAGATGATGATGTGTTGATGATGATGCGTTGTTGATGATTGATGCTCTCTCTCTCTTTCTCTCTCTCTCTCTCAGTGGATGGGTTTGATTTGTCTGATTGATTTTTTTGGTTTTGATTCTCTCTTTCCTCTCCTCTTTTCTTCTTTCTTCTTCTTTGTAGACTGTTGGCCGGCTGAAAGAAGAAAAAAAAAAAAAATCGATTTTGATTTCAGTTTTGTAATTGTGAATAAAGGGAGAGAAAGAGATGAACAGAGGGATAGATGAATACTATTCATTGAACGGAAGAAGAAGAAGAAGAGAATAAACAAATGAGAAAAACGACGTCATTTTGGATTCAAGCCAATTGGGCTAGCTGCTTTTCGAGCTGTGTAGCAGCGTTGTTTTTATAATCACCCATTAACAAGTTTGAATTGAGAATTGGACTCCACGTAAATCCCATTTTGATGACATAAATGATTCATTTTATAAAATCTTTCATCTATAGCATTCGTCAAAAAAATTAAATCAATCAATAATATTTTTACTTTATTACACTTATTTTTTAAAAATTAGATAACAAATTTATTTTAAAACATAAACTATCTATTTTTTTTGAGAAGATTATAAAATGAACTGTTCGAATTATTAAAAAAATTTAAATTTAAACTTAAGAGAGAATTAATCTGAAAAAAAAAAAATTAGGTTCGATTAGGCAACAATTATTCAATCTTTCAAAAACATACATCACGTGACCAACTAATAATGTCATGATTTATTTCATATTATACTTCTTTTTTTTTGAGCCGTGTAAGAACATAATCTCTAATTATTGGACAAACACGGCTAGAGTAAAAGAAAAATGTTTGGGAGTTCTAAATTGGAGAGTACTAAAAGAGCTTTAGAGAGAGTGGATCCTCCTGACTAATGTGATGTTTTGGCCTTAAGTTTATTTTTTTTTTGTTTTTTGTTTTTTTTTTTTTGAATTTCCACCTCATTAGTGGTCCATTAGTGCTGATTGATTTTTTTGGTTTTGATTCTCTCTTTCCTCTCCTCTTTTCTTCTTTCTTCTTCTTTGTAGACTGTTGGCCGGCTGAAAGAAGAAAAAAAAAAAAAATCGATTTTGATTTCAGTTTTGTAATTGTGAATAAAGGGAGAGAAAGAGATGAACAGAGGGATAGATGAATACTATTCATTGAACGGAAGAAGAAGAAGAAGAGAATAAACAAAATCCCAAAACGACGTCATTTTGGATTCAAGCCAATTGGGCTAGCTGCTTTTCAAGCTGTGTAGCAGCGTTGTTTTTATAATCACCCATTAACAAGTTTGAATTGAGAATTGGACTCCACGTAAATCCCATTTTGATGACATAAATGATTCATTTTATAAAATCTTTCATCTATAGCATCCGTCAAAAAAATTAAATCAATCAATAATATTTTTACTTTATTACATTTATTTTTAAAAAATTAGATAACAAATTTATTTTAAAAAATAAACTATCTATTTTTTTTGAGAGGATTATAAAATGAACTGTTCGAATTATTAAAAAAATTTAAATTTAAACTTAAGAGAGATTTAATCTGAAAAAAATAATAATAATTAGGTTCGATTAGGCAACAATTATTCAATCTTTCAAAAACATACATCACGTGACCAACTAATAATGTCATGATTTATTTCATATTATACTTCTTTTTTTTTGAGCCGTGTAAGAACATAATCTCTAATTATTGGACAAACACGGCTAGAGTAAAAGAAAAATGTTTGGGAGTTCTAAATTGGAGAGTACTAAAAGAGCTTTAGAGAGAGTGGATCCTCCTGACTAATGTGATGTTTTGGCCTTAAGTTTATTTTTTTTTTGTTTTTTGTTTTTTTTTTTTTGAATTTCCACCTCATTTTGGAGGATTGCTAGTTTTTTGTCTTTTGGTTCTTGCTTTCTTTCTAATTTACATGTTCAAAAAAAAAAAAAAATACTACTGAAAAAGTATTTTTTATTCGGCAGTATGATTCCGAACTATTTGATTTTGTTCAATTCTACTACACCGGACAAAAGTTGGACAATCCTCTTCAAAAATGAAACAAAAACATAAAAAAAAAAAGAAAAAAAAAAAAAAGACAATTTAATGCTCTTTTAAAACTCCTCTTTTAGAGGTGTCAACCATTTTTTAACTGGATAAGACATTAGGTTACAACCACATTAGTCTGGTTTCCAATCAACAACTACGTAAACTGTTACATGTCGATTTATTTAAGGATCATCCAATTAACACCCAATCATCTGCCACACACATATAGATATGTTTAAGAGTGATATTTTAAGAGTTTTTAGCATTACTTTCGAGTAAAATATCAAAATAAAAGTAATAAACCCATTATATAAATCAATGACATTTAGCTACAACACATTACAAATATCTTATTTGTACCAAAAAAAATACTTCTCCCAAAAAAGTTAGGGAGACCAAGAAATAAAAATTGAAGTGTAAATTAAATTTAATTTAAGGTAAATCACACTCATAATAAATCTGGTCCAAATTAAAAAAATAATAATAATAAATTTTCGAATAATTTTTTTTAAACGCTGTGTAACATTGTTGTAACTTCTCCTATCATAGAATTTGGAAATGTGACCGTCATTGAAAAAAAAAAAAAAACCTTTAATAAGTCTGTCATAACTCACCGTCTGAGGTGATTGGGTGACTTGGATCATAATTTCGCGGTGTAATTTAGAGCACATCATGTTGCAACCAGAGACATCCACATTATGCACACTTTTAGGACGTTTTGGATCTTAGATTTGCAGAGGAAAATGCAAAGATTGGCTTGAGTTCAATCTTACTAGCTTGAACTGGTTTTCCAGTTTTTGATTAAGCTTGCTACGTGCTGAGCAACCCATAACGAGCCAGCTTTAGTGCAAGAGAAGGCATGAGAAAGGCCCTCGCGTTCAATTGCAAGAGCAACATCGGGAACATTCTTGGAGATCTGCAAGTGCAAAAGTTGACCGAGAGCCACACTCAAGTTGTCAAATTAAAGAATAACCAAACCAACCAAACCAATCCTTAAGTCCTATCAAAAGGGTAGGCCACATGAATCATTTTTCTTCACGCGGCTCTATCAAAAGTTATTTCGTTAGTCAAATTAAGTAGATCTATATCTCTATTTACAACGCTATCCAACGTTAATCTAAATCTACCCGGTCCCCTAACACTTCCATCTACCGTCACTGCATCGCATCTCTTCACTACTGCCTCTATTGGTCTCCGTTGAATATGACCAAACCATTTTAATCGACTCTCTCTCAACTTATCTTTTATCGGTACTACTCCTACCCATTTCCGAATACACTCATTCCTAATTCTATCTTGTCTAGTTTTGCTACACATCCACCTTAACATCCTCATCTCAGCAACACTCATCTTAAAGAATGCTAGAGAAATTTCAGGCAAATAAACAGCTCAACGAGTTTGACATTTTTTTAAGCAGACTGACATTATTGTGTTTGTCACTTCAAAGAAAAAATAAATAAATAGTTGTCACCATAGTACTGTTGTAACTACTTTATTAACACAATGTTCATCCAGAATTTCACAGGTGTCTAAAATTATTGACATAAATCAGGTTGAATCATCCCATTCCATCAAGGGTTTCCATTAAAGTGTTGGGTTGGGTGTACATGGGAATTTCAAAACCAAGAAGCTTCCTTATTGCCGTATCCCACATTGGTTTGCTTACCAACTTGTTTTCCACCATGGAAGCACTCCATTGGGCTAGTGAATGTAGCAAGGCCAAAGGGAAGCTCTCGTAAGCATGAGAGGAAGCCAATGCCCATTGCCCAAGCAATTTGAGTAAACCAGTTTGGAAACTAGTTAACCCAGACACGCGGGTTAATTTGAAAGAGAGATTGGTGGTGACAAAGTACACAGAATTTAAGCACGATGGGCTAAGTTGAAGATCGCTTTGGGTGTGTTGTGCAGTCAAATGTACAGCACTATAAATTTGAAAAGAAAATACTATGAGATGGCTATTAGACCAACCAAACTTTATAGGTCAACTCTCCATATTGCATACAAGGCGCACACCTCACACTGTAATGTGCAAGCCTTTTGGAGAGTGTTGCCTAACAATGAAAGCCTAGACACATTTGTCTTAGCTTCGTATCGAGGCCAGCCTCAATAATGCCTTTGAAAACAATGGGTGGCAACAAGAGCAGATGCATGTAGGAATGAGTGGGTGCAATAGGCCCTAGTGGATTTTTTTGAAATTAATATTTTGACCTTTAATTTTTTTTTTTTCTTTAAAAAAAACTTGGTTTCTATTCCAACCAAATTCCAGTTTAGGCTGGCTAGGAAGAAGAAGAAAGCAAAGTATACATAATAATAATTGGTTTAGTGGCAGATAAAAATTAGTAAATGGATACACACAATTCTTATTGTACAAGCAAAATGGGCTTGGTGACAAAAAAAATTTAAGATGGGGATTACACTGGGAGAGTTAAATTGACCGCGTACTACACAACATGCATAAACAAACAAGCATATTCCTCACACAAACAGTTAATGGTCCACCATTTACAAATGCTACGCATACAAAGAGGTTAATGTTCTAAAATAAAGTTAACAAGAAGATGATAAATACAGGTCTTACCTCATCAAACATTTGCAATGGACCCCAATGATCACCAACGCCAAACAAAAATGCTATCCGGCTTTGCTTTCCTCTCATGAATGTCCAATCTGGTGTTTCTGAAAGCTAATGTCAAAGACCAAGGTTGGAACACCTCAGTAGTTTTATATAAAAGATCTTGCAATGGTTCAAAAGAGGTTTTCTATGTGAATTTTTTTTTTAACACAGTTTTCTATGTGAATTTTGTACTAGAATGTTACTGAACAAAATATAAACACAACAGATGTAGTCAAAACAACTATCACAGAAACGCCAGCTATCACCAAGACATATATAATACAGCAAAATGACATGTAGATTAAAGAGTCACAAAAGATTAAAAAGGGAATTAATAAGAAAAATACAAAGAAATAAAAATAATGAAAAAAAAAACAAATGTTTGAAGCAAACAATCATTTAATCCAACAAAATTAAATTGGATATACACTTCAAAGGAGCCCGTCACTCCATGTGTGTGTCAAGCATATGAATAGTTCTCAAAGCCTATGTGTTAGCAGCTATCAGGTTTTGCAGTACTGGGGAAGTAACCACCAAATCTCAAGCAGATTTTATAATTGGGGGCAGGAGTATTAAATTAAAACTGCTTTTACACAACTAAAACAATGTCGTTTTTAAAAGAGGATGAAAAATCTGTGTTACATGAACTCTTCTATTTCTCCCACAATACCTGTGTCCATTGGATATGACATGGGTAAGGGTGTGAGATATGTGTCGGACACACGTACCAAATTTAAACACTTAGATCCTTTAATTTGTTACGATATATGAGAAGAAGAAACTCACATTTACTAGTAAAGCAATATTTTTAGCCTCTCACATTAATTAGATATAGAAATTTTTTTCCTGAATCCTATTTAATGTCAAGTATACTTCTATATAATTTACAACATTTCATTCGAGAATATTTTATAATATGCAATATATGTGTATATGATGCACCTCCGTACCCATATCCAATTTTGGATACGTATATCAAGATCTTAAGATTTAATTTATGAAGGTCTGATACTTAGATACACACCCGCATCTGATACACCCGATACTTGTACCCGAACCCATGTAACATAGGGAAAAATATCTTCATGCATATATGATATTAATGATGACAAAGTCACCGTTAACCAGGTGGTCTGAAGATATTGGTACCATTCAAACCTATATTGTTTTTCAACATTTAAGCAAATTGTAGACAGACGAGATTTATACCTTTTTGAACTCTGTCATTGCCAAGAAGAGTACATTACGTATCACATGGTACTGAAAATCAATAACAAATGAAATATAAACTCTTGTCAGAAACAATTTATAAGCACAGAAAATGGCGTACCTAATGTTTAAATTTCAGTGATTGAAGAATCATTTCTGTGATGGTTTTATTATGCATTATTGAACTATAATGCCATTAAATAAGTGACTACACTAAACAAGCAAATAAAAAACATATTGCTCAAACCACAAATATTGCTTGAGTTTGAAAAACATAGGAACTCAATCATACAACTACAAGGTTGATTATGCTACATCCTTGGTGATGTGTAATATTGCAAAAACTTGCGTAAAAGTGGTTCAATGTACAAAGTCAAAGGAATGAAGAACAAGAAACTCGAAGACAGCTGCACCTTCAGTCCTAATTTTAGAAAGAGCCTATCCAAAATGAAGTCATGTAAATTAAGTATAAGATGTGTCCATTTAACATTGTGATCCATCCTGCCTTTTTGCGATGATGAATGAATTTTAGTAACAAAAACCAGAGAAAGCAAGCTTGGCCTCTTAAGTTCAACTTCATATTTTCAAATTCCATTAGCTTCCACAATTCAAATTTCTCTTTCATACCCAAAAAAGAAGTATGAACCACCAAATCTACTGTTTCAATGTATATAATTGCACGTTGCTGGCAACAATGCCGAACAAATCAAGCACAAAAGATAAAACTATACCTGCAGCACATGAGTGCATAGAGCATCAACAGCAGTGGTAGACCAAGATTTTCCAACAGATTTTGTCACAAGAAACCTGGAAGCCCTGGTTGGTAGCAACCCCAACAATCCTACCACAGAACTGACTGCAGCAGACAAAATTGGGGACCTGAAATCCAAAAATTTGTAAGTTTATCCCAATGAAAACCTCAACGGAAGAACTTTCTAAAATAAGAAGTACCTAAAAATTATGAACACCACAAACTGGAAAACATTTGGGACAACGGAAATACAATTGGGAACACAGTAAACTGTGAAACAGTAGAACATTCTATAATAGTAATTCTGATGAAAAATGCAGTCAGGATCCAAGAACCCAAGCCACAATACAGTCAGGACCCAAGAACCCTCTCTGTAGAGGTGTAATTGTTTAAGAAGATTTTAAGTGAATAATCGTCCCTGAAAGATAAATTACTATGGCCTGTGGAATGGGAACAGCAACCTGGTATATCACTTATAGGGAAACACATAGCTACAACTTACAAGTATCTGATTAAATAAGATCTAATTAATTTCCCCAATGCATATTGTATCATATTGATTATATATATATTGTTTTGTGTGTTCAATAAGTATGCCATGCACAATTTCACAATTTTTTAAAGTTTTATTTTATTTTGGAATTTTTTTAAGTTTTATCAAAAAATCAATTTCGACTACCATGTCTTAATGTTTGCTTAACTATTATCTTATGAAGTTTCACCTTATACATTTTAAGTCTGATATCATGATAGTTAGTTCAATTTTGAGAATCAGTCAATCTTAAAAATATATACCATAGTGCTTTTCCTCCATTCATCAAAAAGCTTCTTTGTTTTGAAGATCTTCTCAAATAAGTTAGTTAACCAAATCATTCACCATCATCCACACACTTGCAAGCTGCAACCAAATTCCTATAGGAACCAAAAAACCGTTCCGATTTCTAAATG